TTTGCTCTCTGTGAAAGCCTGAGAGAATGTTTTTTCTTTCCATGTGACTCTCCCCAGGCACACTATACTGATGTGGCATTTTCTCTCCTAACCTCAATGCTGTAAGTACTTCCTCTGTGTTAATCACTACAGAGAAACCTTCATGGGAAATGAGATACAAGTATGCACAGCAATATGAAATAGTATAGTGACAGTCTAAGTGAAGTAAGTAAGTTCTACAGGAATTCAAAATATGAACAGTTCACTGGAAGACTGAAACACTTCAAACAAAACAAAGCCACTTGAACAGCTCTTCAATTATGTTTTCTCTTCTGTCCCTCTTAAATATTCCAACTGCTTTCTTTTTTTTTTTCCAACTGCTTTCTTTTCACCAATATCTGACGCTGTTTGAATTTTCATCTTGTCACTCCATTTTTATACAGTTCTTTAAAAAAATGCTCTGAATATTACACAATCTAACCTTTGCTGTAAGGCTATCCTGTAGATGAGGGTCCACAGTTCTGATTATGGTAAGGAAATGCAACAAGTTCAGTAACTTAAGTTATCCAAGGCCATGTGGCTTTTTTAACTTCTTACACTAGAGTTCAAACTTATTTTTCATGAAATTCTACACACTGTTATGGCATACAGCCTCATTAGAAAGCTTTTAAGTTCTACCTCTTCAACTTACTTTAACAGTTTTCCTGTATTTTTCATCACCTCGAAGATCTTGAATATTTCCAATTCCTACTTTGAGCAATCTAAAACCTCCTCAATCTGTCACTACAGTTCCTTAAAGAACCTTTCAGTTAATTCACTACCTGAGAAACCTCAGGCACTACTACATTCTGTGTACCTTTGCTCAAGGAGATTTTCTTACCTAATATGCTTTCTCTATCTCCTCAAAACAAGGTCTAACATCTATTCTCAGATATGAGCCCTCCCCTGGTTAGTCCCTTTATCAGTCAGATCTCAAGAGTCTCTCTCTTTTTCTCTCTGCCCCTCCCTCCCTTCCTCCCCCCCTTCTATAAAAAGCAGCCATTTGAATATACCATATACTTTCTTAAATATAGTTAATACATGGGTTTTTTTAATGTAGCCTCCTCAACCACTATGCATTTGTATAGAACACTACTGAGTAAAAAGATTGTTAATGTATATTATGTTACTTAATTCTACAAAAAAAAACCTATAATCAAGAAAGGTAAACTCACACTGTCTGCAAGTACAGATAATTCAAAGTCAAAAGTCTTACAATCCCCAAATCTAGGTTATTCTAGTAACATAATGATGTCATATATAATAGCCTTCTATATGCACAGATTGAACATTCTCAGATTAACCAATCATGGACTGAAATACATATTTAGAAAAAAAACTTCATCTATCCTAAACATGTAAGGACTTACTTTCTCTTGTCATTATTTCCTAAAGAATTGTATTAGTTGGGGCAGGCGACATAGCTCAGTGGACTAAAGCACCCGCTTAGGCAAGCTTAAGCAAGCGCAGAGACCATGGTTTGAACTCAGCACCTCATGCCACCCCCGCCCCCAGGTAGGCTAACTCAGCCACAGAGTCCAGGTATAGTGGCACACACCTGTAAACCCAGCACTGGGAAGGCTGAAAACAGGAGGATCATTATTGAGTCTGAGCTGCAGTGAGACCCTGTAACAACCAAATACATTAAAAAAAAAAAAAAAAATTCTATCAGTCACCTTTCCCATTGCTGGGACAAACTACCTGACACCTACAACTTGAAGGACATGAGGTTTATGTGGCTCACTGTTCCCGGGGATTCAGTCCATAGCAGACTGGATCCAAGACAGGAACATCATGGCAGAACAGCACAGCTGAGAACATGGTGAAGCAAAGTTGCTCAGTTTGTAGCAGACAGGAAACTGTAGGGGAACAAGGCCAGAGAGGAAAAAGCCAGGGACCAGATATATAATCCAAAGTCACACCTCTATGGCCCACCTAGATGCATTAGAAAGTATGCTTTATTAATTCAGAGAATCTCATCCCAATCAAGTTGACAGTTAACCTGAGCTGTCACAAGAACACTGCAGAACATGTAGAGAGTACTTAATTATACTAGTTATTAAAAATAATGTACAGTACAGGTGACTTCAAGTATACTACAGCATGTGCATATATTATATACAAATATTACATCCATTTAGATAAGGGATTTGAGCTTCTGTGGTTATCAAAATCTGTAGGGGTTGCTTCGGAAAGTGACCATCACGGATACCAAGGGATATTGTATTCTGTAATATCTGATTGAGAAGAGAGTCCATGCTTAATGTTTGGTGACCTGCACAAAAGGCAGAAGAAGAATGATCAGGAGGAAGGAATGAGCACAGACTGTGAAGTCTTTACCTAGCAAAAAAGGCATGATTTGTTTGGGGGGAAAAAAAATCCTTCCCAATGTTCTTTCTCACATCTTGAAGCATTTTACCATCTCAACCTCTAAAACATGTTCCTGTCTTTTAAGGGTCAAAAGTGTGAGAACCACATAATTCAAAACCTATGACTTTCAAAAAAGATAAGCAAAAAGGCCTGGATCTGAACGCCCCAATACTATCACACCTTCCTTTCTTAAGCACCTACCCTGTATGGAGCACAGAGAAATCTGAAAGCTTTACAGTTAAACATGTTTATGTCAAAAAACCCATGCTTAATACTTATCAATATGCAAGGCCCTACAATGAGAAAACTGAGGTACCTTAAGATTTAATCCATTGTGATGAGTAAACAAAGGGGAAGCATGCATTCTTCAAGGTCACAGAGCTAGAGGGGAATAGTGGCACCCTACTTTTCATACAACTGTTTCTTCCAAGATGCTGTGCAGAGCAAAATATGCCAGCCTAGAAGCAGAGTTGCCCCCTCCCATCCTTGTTGCTAAGACTAGTTTTTAAAAAATTGATGGTCAGAATGGGGAAGGGGCAAGTGAAACCAGTCAGTAGTACACTTAGTGGCAAACAAAGGAAAATAAAAAAGGGAGAGGGCAAAGAAGGCAAGAGAGAAAAAGAATCTTAAGGCTTTTTATCAGCTCAGCAAAGCATGTCAATACTTAAATCATTATGTATCATTGATAAAACGGCCGAGAAACTTAAATAAGAGAAAAGACAAGGAGCACTGTGGAATCTGTAGCGGCGTGCGAAGGTAACTATGGTAGGAGTTTGGGGATAGGGACTTCGTATGGATTCTTTAGTTATTTGGGTTTCAGGCCTCTCCGTTAGTGAAACAGGCACTTTCCACAGTGATACCCAGCACCACAAGGTAAAAGTATTGGTCACGCTGAAACGTGAAAGTAAGCAAATTATACCAAGAAGCTATGGCAGCCACCGCGTCAAGGACCAGGGACACTTCTAAGCAGGAAAGACGCAAAGAGAAGAGTAGGGTCTGAAGTGGACCGACGGCGGAGTACAAGAACACTCAGGTGAGCTCCACAGGGCTTCCCTCAGGAGGCCTCAGGAAAGAAGGAAGATGGGTTCACCGCGTGCCTGGCACCTCCAGGAACCGACTCCTCACCTTATCCAACAAGCCACTGCGGCTGCTGCCTGTCCCGCCACTAGAGCCACCGCCAGCCCCACTACCTCCTCCACCACCGCCGCCTCTCCCGCCCAGCGCCGCCGCCGCCGCCATCTTGCCAGCCGCCGTGTCTCCCTCCCCTCCGACTTGTCTGAAGCCTATTGGTTGTCGCTACGGACGTGACGCGAAGCGCGATGCCTATCGGAACCCGTGGACCGGACGCGGTGACCCCTGGTTAGCGGAAGTGGCCGCGGGGCTTGCCGGGACTTGTAGTTAGACGCTCCTACGGGCCTGTTGCCGTGTACAGGGCCAGTCAAAGCGTCCGGGTTACTAAGGAGTGGGTGGGAACTACAGTGGCAAATACCATCGTGGAGCGGCTCCGAGATCCCCGCGAGGTTCGCAGGCGCGCATCCTGCCTGACCGGCAAGTCGCCTCCGAGGACTCCTCGGAGGCGGAAACGACGCCGGAGGCAGGTGCGACTGGAAACTTAGTTTGCGTGAGTTAAGTTTCCTCCGCCCCAGATGTGGAGTCTGCAAAAGGGCTGGGAAGAGCCCCGTCGTTCGTCCTCCTGTAGCCCGTTGGGTTAGGGCAGTTGCCCGGTTATTTTTTCAAGAGACTTTCTGCGTTGTTAGTCACGTTTCGTGTGGAACTCAAATGTACTGAGCGTCTGTTTTGCCAATCAGTGCCCTGCGTGTATTTACATCCGTCTTTCTCTTAGTTCCAGAGCAAGATGAAGCTACTGAGCAACTTAGTTGGCCAGAGCCAGAGAATCTGGCTGAATCCAGGCTTTGTCTTGTTTGGCTTCAAAAGCCATTATATTTCCCTTTGGCACTCTGCTTTTAGAATTTAAAATGTAATAGCATTCTATACATTAACTTATTATATTAATTTTTCTCCACAGATATTTATTGAGCACCAATATTACCTGACCGTACTAAAAGTTACAGGTGGAACACAACAGACCCATCACTGTTCTAAAGATCTAGAGTGTTCCAATAGTAATAAACTCCATTACAGTACATTTTTAATCTATATATTCATTAAGTGTCCAAATGATGAAATCAATAATGGGTTGATTAGTATGTAGTGGGCCTGTACCAGTCACTCAAGACATTCTCTGAAAAAACAGACAAAATCTTTCTTGGCAAAGCTAACTTCATCGTGAAAACATGGTTGCTAAAGAATACAGAATTCTACTCCTTGACTCCTGTGAGGCAGTTGCTGGCCACTTCAGTCAGATGTTCCTGTAGCTTTTTGCTTTTCAGTCTTTACAGCTTCTCATGTTTTAAGACCCAGCTCCTTGTCACTTGCCCTGTGAAACCTTTCTGGCCTTTGCTTCTTCCTTCTTCACAGACAATATGAAGTTCTCCTTGAACACTGTCTCAGTTATTTTGTTGTTGTTGTTGGGACAAAATATTTAACACTCAAAATTAAGGATGGAAAGGTTTATTTAGCTGACAGTTAATGGAAGCTTTAGTCTATATTTAGCTGGCTCTAAGGCAAAGTGACACATGGCAGAGGGCAGCTGTTTATGGCAGCAGAAAACAGCAAAGAGCAAAGGGAGGTGTGGGCAGTTGTAGCAGCTAGCAAGCCCCTCCCCCACATGGTATTTAGGCTGTCTGCCCCAGGGCAGATGTAGTACCCACACCAATAATCACAGCGTTAATCATGAATTAATCACAACCTCTAGAAGCCGCCCCATAACTGCATGAGACTTTGAGGGGCCAACTACAACAAAACATAACGAGAAATTTGTTCATAGCTTGCTATACTACTCATTAAAATTTCTTTGGTAGGCCAGACCCTTGATGAGGTGCCTGTCTCTGTTACTTTTCTCTTGTTGTTGGGATAAAATACTTGACATCTAGAATTAAGGAAGGAAAAGCTTATTTAGCTCACAGTTTGTGGAGGTTTCAGTCCGTACTCAGCTGGCTACATGGCAGGGTGGCATATAGCAGAGGGCAGCAGTTCATGGTGAGAAAAAACAGCAGAACAGCAAGAGCAAACAGGGAGGAGCAGCGGAGAGCAGAGCAGAGTGCAAGCCTCTCTCCCTTTCCTATATTGTATTCAGGCTATCTGCCCCGGGGTGAGTGTAATACACCCATAATCCCAGCATTGGATCGTGAATCAATCAAACTCTAGAAGCCGCTCCATGACTGCATGAGGTTTTGGGGGGAGAAACTAGACACAAACCATAACAAGGGCACTAAGAAATGGAGTGCCTCCATTAAAAAATGGAGCTGATCTGGTGACAGAGGAGGAGAGTCAAACTGAGCAAAAAGAAGGGCAGAAGTTTAGTAAATCAGAGAAGTAGAACAAGCACATGTGTGCAGGTGCAAATGAAGGATAATGCTGTGCGCATTACATAAGCGAGAAAAAATATGTGTTTTAGGGTAGGCTGTGCTGTAGTTGCCCTGACATTAGCCTTCAAGAGGCTGCTGAAGTTAACCAGGAAGGTGGCCTCAAGTCTGAAACTTGGACTTTTCTCCGCTACCATAAAATTCATATTTCTCTTGGGGTTACTCTAGAGTTCAGTCCCTTCCTGGCCCTTCAGATGTAGATCCATGCCTTCTCACCAGATATTCTTTATAGGAATTGGACTTTCTATGATTATTTAAGTCCAGTTCTTGTATGCTTGAATTTGGTTTGTCCTTTGTGTTATATGCGTAGCAAATATATTTTCCCATCCCAAGTCTTATCTTCGCTGGGGAAATAGCTCAGCAGTATAAGTGCCTGCCTGCCTGCCTGCCTGCCTGCCTAAGTCTTATTTTCAGTGTGTTTTTGTGACTTTTATCTTGCAGAAATTTATTTAAGTAATCATATTAATAATCCCTTGTATTCTGATTTGTGCATTTCATATCACAATCCAGGCATACTCCATTGTCATAAGACTGTTCTCCTGTATCCCTTCCCATCCATGTCTATTTCTGTGATAATTTTTGTCCTGTCAAATCTTTGTTTTCTATTTTATTTTATTTTATTTGCAGTACCGAGGATTGAACTCAGGACCCTGTGCTTGCCAGGCAAGCGCTTATTCTACTGAGCTATCTCCCGGCCCTGTATCTGTTTATATTCAGCTATTTATTTTATCTTCAGAAGTAGTTTTTCCTGAGACCTCCCAATTTTGGAGCAGAAAGCTCACAACAGCATACAATTTATCAGAAAATTCAGTAACTCTGAGTGGCAGACTAAGAAGGATTAAAATATCTATTTTGCAGGTCAAAAAACAGGTCAAGAAACAAAAGAAAAAGGAAGCCAAGAGGCCATTCTCAAAGTCAAAGATCAAGTATGTACTATGTAGACCAGAAACTGGTTCTAATATTTTATAAGTTACTGAAGCCCTTTCCAACAGTCATCTCTTAACATGTCCCATCTGACTAAGCACTTATTCATTTCTTCATTCACCTAGTGAATAGGTGTGGTTGTCACTAGAGATTTTGTGAAAGACAGATGGACTAAACCTGAATCTGTTCCCAACCATCTACCTACCCATTAACCTTCCCAGCATATGTTTAGTAATCTCTGGGTTCTATGAAAGTGATAGATTAAGAAGGATTATAGTGGTACTTCTTATTATGCTGGTAAATGTAGGCCTCATGGCAAGTAGAAAGTTAGTGAGGGGAGAAGCAATTATAAAAGAATGAGAAGTACTATACTAGGAGAAGTGTGGGGTGTCAGGAATACGTGAGCTCAAGAATACATGAGCCTCAATCCTTGGCAGGAGAGTTTAAGAATCAGAAGATTTATAGTGCCCTAAATTGGGCCAAAGGAGATACCAGCATTCATTCTACAGATATTTATGGAACCTGTTATATGCCAGCTGCCATATTAGAGAGAAAGTGTTGAATACTATCGATACTGTCCCTTCCCTTGGGAGCTTTGAGTCTAAATAGAAATAGCAGATATACCTACACTCTTGGGTCCCAGCAGTGGTTTTATATCTCTCATTTGTCTCACATGTCTTTTTCTTTTTTATTTTTATACACTTTTATGGAACATACTTTTTTTTTTACTGCTTTGTATGAGCTTGATCTTAGAAGAGTGGAAAAGGGACAATGAATTGAACATGTTGAACATGTTTCCAAATTTGGAGGTTTATAGTCCCTTGAAGAAGTCTCTCTGTCTGTCTCTCTCTCTATCATTTTTTCTGTTTTGTCTGTGTTTCTGACTTTCTTTCTTTCTTTCTTTCTTTCTTTCTTTCTTTCTTTCTTTCTTTCTTTCTTTCTTTCTGTATTTGGTTGTTACAGGGTCTCACTGCACAGCTCATACTCCTAGTGATCCTCCTGTTTTCAGCCTCCCCAGCACTGGGATTACAGACATGCGCCACCGTGCCCAGAGGATCACACCATGGTCCCTGCACTGCCCTAAGCTTGCCTAAGCAGGCATTTTAGTTTGCTGAGCTATCTTTCCAGACCCTAAGGAGACTTTCATGATTTTAGTAATCTTATATGATAGAAAGCAGTCAGGCTATAAAAGAGAAACTGAAGAGATCATTTCAGGGCTTAGTAGAAGCACAATTATTTCCCTTTAGAATGTTTACTTGAAGGCCAGGCGTGATGGTGTAAGCCATAGTCCTAGCCACTCTGGAGGTGGAGACAGGAAGATTGCTAGTCTGAAGCCAGATACTGATAATTGAGAAAGACACTGTCTCAAAAAAGAAAAGAAAGACAGTGTCTCAAGATAAAAAGGGCTAGAGATATAACTCTGCAATAGCAGAATACTTACCTAGTATGTGGAAGTGTTATATTACCTAATGTGTTCAATCCCCAGTATCAGGGGGAGTAGGGGAAGCTCAGCGAAGGCTTTACAGAAAGGGTGGTGTCTCAGCCATGCCCAGAAAGATGCTTTTCTTTTCTATGTACTTGAGCCATTACTTTATTTAACTCGTACTGTAGTTCTCTGAGGAGTGGAATTTTTGTCCTCTTTTCTAATATGGGTGAATCTGGCAACATTGGCTTACATGTCTGTATGGCAGTGATTGGCAAGGCTGAAGAGTAGCTGCCTCTGTAGGCCCTTGTACACTCATGCACAAGCACACACTCCCCCTTCACTGCTGTTTCTCTTATATTCAGCTCTTTTCACTCGTGACCTGCCCAACTCATGTAACCATGCACGTCT